CCACAAGCGAGCCCTGGCCGACCTGAAGGGCACAACGGGGCTGAGCCCCGGTGAGCCGGCAGCCTCGCCAGGGCAGCACCTCCTGGCACCCCAGCACGCCGGCCTGCCCCACGATGCCCATCTCAAGCCCGAGCACCACTACGCCTTCAACCACCCCTTCTCCATCAACAACCTGATGTCCTCCTCCGAGCAGCAGCATCACCACCCTCACCACCACCACCACCACCACCACAAAATGGACCTCAAGGCCTACGAGCAAGTGATGCACTACTCGGGCTATGCCTCGCCCATGCCTGGCAGCCTGGCCATGGGACCCGTAACGAACAAAAATGGCTTAGAGTCCTCCCCTTTAGCTGGAGAGACTTCTTATTACCAAGGTGTGTATTCTCGGCCCATCATGAACTCTTCCTAAAGGGGCAAGGGAGAAACCTCCCCTCGCAAGGGGGAAAAAGCCACACCAACCCCTGCGCAGCCCCCCTGGCAGAGGGATGGACTATGAACGCTATTGAGCACGGTACATATACATATATATCTATCTTTTTTTTTTTTTTTGGTTGGTTCCAGATGTTTGCATCTGTTTGGGAAACAACTGATGCGTGTCTTGCAAGCATCTCGACCCACGCCAAGGAAAGGTGTGTTGGTCCCCCCGGCCCAGAGCCGCCTGTGCCAGGGGGAATGTGTGTGCGGGGGCAGCGATTCCCTTGGTCTCCTTTGTGGGGCAGTTCTGTTTGGTGGGGAGGGGGGATTGGGGGTGAGAGATGGGGAAAGTTTTTTTTTTTTGCGGGGAGGGGAGGTATTTTTTTCATTGTTGTCGTTGCAGGGAGGTATAAATATATCTATTTTTTTGTGTGTGAAAGTGGTGGGGAAAAACAAAAACAAAAACGAAATCCTACTTCGGTGTAAAACCCATGCTAGTTTCGAATCAGAGGACCAAAAGTCTTGTAATGTTGTAAAAAGTGGGGGGAAACAGGGGAGTAAAACAAAACAAAAACAACAAAAAAAGAGAAAAAAACTATGAAAAAAATAAAAAATGACAAGATAGATTGTTGTAATTGAAACAAACGCTTGATGTTACCGGGAGAGTAAACTACTACGATCTGATTAATTTATCGTTTCTGTATGCTTTATTTATGGCTTATAAATGTGTATTCTGGTAGCGAATAGCCAGATTTCCACATAACTACATTAAAGTGTTATTGGCCTTTTTTTTAATGCCCCATATCCTCCTTTTTTTTTTTCTTTTTTTTTTTTTCCGACGGGACTCGCTCCCTTTTTCCCCCGGCCCCGGCGGCGGATCGGGCCCCGCGGAGCCGTCGGGCGGGGAGCG